AGGCCCGTATTATTAGTCGTTGCTTGAAACTTACACTATTTCTGCACTACTAGAAACATAGTAAAATTGGGAAGAATTTATACTGAGCGAAACTATAATATTCTCTCCGTGTAACATCGCAAAAATTAGTGAAAGTTAAGCGAAGCAATACACCGCACATGTACAAATCTCACGTAATTCACGATGCTCGTCGATGGCATTACCGCGTCGAATGAAATTACTCAACTCCCTCGCGATCGCAAATTTGTTCGTTTTTAGTTTAATTTAATTTCACGCTTTACGCGCGCGCACGCGCACGCACACGAATAAATTCGTTTTCGCCGCTCGACACGGGCTGTTTAACAAATCCTTGGAGCTGGCGAACTCTTTGTCAAGTCTGCCGTCGATGGCCGATGGTGAGTCAGCGCAAATATGTGTTGCACATCGCTTTTTGCAAGCATTATCCGCGGCCTCGAGCGCGGTCTTTATTCCGCTCTCGGAATAGCCCCGACCGCGGGGATGATCTTCCGTAAATCCTCCCTTTCTCCCTTTCGCGATCGGCGCACCGCTGCGCGCCGGCCGTAATAAGCGCCGGCGCGTCCGGATCACCACCCGGCCGATGAAGACAGAACTCCACTACCGAACCGAACTCACCGAATGGTATTACCACTCCTCGCTGCGGGAGGCCCGGGGCCCGGGCTTACTTTACACCGTCGGATCTTAATTTAATGCCCGTCTCCTCTTTCTCTTTCACCGGCGCGGCGCAGCGCGACGGTCCGACGCGCGCTGCGTCGACGCATCCTCGCCGAGGAGAAGTGCGTGCAAAAGCACGCACGAAGGAGCGAAGCCACGGCGCGATATATATCGTGTTAAACAGGTACCAAATCGTTTCATCTCGAAACGCCCGCCCGTTAAGGACTCGTGTAATCGAATCGGTGAAAACGAATTTGACAAGACACGCGCGCTCTCTCTCTCTCTCTCTCTCTCTCTCTCTCTCTCTCTCTCTCTCTCTCTCTCTCTCTCTCTTGCTCGCTCACTCGCTCTCGTCTCCGCGGGCGTGAATAATTTCGCCGCGGATTCATTGTCGTTAAATCGTGCGCTCGCGCACGCACGTCAATTAACTCGACGTCGGACGATACATTAAGCGAACGAGTTTAATCGGGCGGAGGGTTGCGGGAGAGAGAGGAAAGAACAGACGCCACGTTAAAGGATCCGGCGGACCGGAACGAAAGGATACACGTGAGCGTTACGCATGGCGATCGCGAACGACGTGTAACCATTATCATAAACGTATTAAATCCGATCCGTGGCAGCCCAGCTTCGGTCGCAGCTTCAGACGTGATCGTTCAATTTCCACGCCATCGCGCCGGAAGATAAACGATCGGCAGCGGCTTTCGTTGCACCGCGCGCTCCTATCGCCTGTTGCACCGCACCGGCGCAGGATCCGACATGTGTTCCGGTCGCGGGATCTGTACGCCGGAAAGTGACACGCACGCCTACCCCGGTGCCTACAATGTACGAGCCTTTTCACAGCTATTTGTAAACGTCAAGGGCTCCCTCGAGCTGTTCTTTCTCAAAAGGCAGTCGTGTCGCGTCATACGCTAGCGATGGGAACGAAGCTTTCGCAAAGGGTTGCCGGACGACTGCCGATCTCGTCGGCCGAGGTGTCGGTCGACTTGAGATCGTAGTCCCGCGCGAAGCCCCGACCAGGCATTTATCCCAGGCTCCTGGGATCAGGTCGATCCCTATCAGTTATCTGCTTTGCATAAGCTGACATTATCGCGGGCCCTGATTATTAATAAGATCCTAATTATTAATAATTCTTATTATTAATAAGGTCCTAATTGCATGCTGCGTTACATGACTTATCAGGAGCCAATAACACATCACCCTGTACCAAACCAAATTATTGATTGGAATCATGGGATAAATTTCCAATCGGGAGAACCCGACCTGTGCCGTTGATTCCGCGGGGGGAACGATGTTGGAACGTTGGGCGAGTAAAAGAAAAATACCAAGGCTTGATATTTTCGTACCTCTATTCCAGGACATTCTCTTCTCTATTTCTTCATTCGCTAGATACGAATACTTAAACTTTCAATAAGGAATGTACATATATATGTCCTGCGTTGAAAGTTCAAATGTTCGTGTTTAGAGAAAGCGAAACAATGTCCAGGAATAGGCACGCGTCCAGGCGCATTGGCGCTTCTACCTTACACACTGACTCGATCCCATCCCTATCGTGTGGACAAGTGTGCGGGATAACGGGGATATCCTGCTCCAGGCTACGGCGCATCCTCGTGATCGATGGAGACCCTTCCACACCTGCATATTACGCTCCTCGCGTACGATCACTCGGAAATCGTAATTTAGATTGATACCTGTGCTCCGTTAAGTATCACGCGTTTAGGCAGGGCACACTTTTATTAATGGGACTTGGAGCCACGGTGGATTATGATGGATCACCGTCAGTTTAGACGGGAGACTATTATCTTTCCGATTTCCTCTCGCGCAATATCGGCCTGCGCCGTGATATATACGCGGGGTGCATCATGATCAATTCCGAGCGAACGTGCGCCAGGGGATGCGCTGCGGAATGACGATTCGTAATTGTTGAGGGCTCCACTAGCGAGAGCCAGCGTCTCGCGCGGGAACGAATTAACTGTCGTGTCTCGACAATTAGTCACGCGATAAAACCGCCGTGTGGCAAGTACAAAAAGGCGCGGCGAGCTCGTTATTGAAGAAACACGCGTGCACATGCGAGCGTGTACGCGATACACGCCACGTTGTCTCGGGATTTTAAAGCCGGATAGCTCCGGAGAACTTTTAATCACGCAAGAAGCTGTCACGTTGCATCTCCCGAAGGTAGATACGATATCTGCGGCGACGACACGATGTGCAGCGATGTCCGTGTCGTCCGCTGCGCGCTCTGTCCCGCGCGTCTCCGCGTCCCGCGTCATTAATTTCTGATAATCTGTAACACGTTCGGCACGACGACAGATGCTGCGATCGTCGCGTCGGACAGAATGCATCGAAATATTGCATTTATTAAAAAGATACCACGAGACACGCTCGTTTTCCCTCCTCTCCCCAACAAACTACCGGTTACTTTGTCAACGATTTTTTCACGATCATGGGGAATTTATAGTCGTCGCGAGAGCGGCCGCGGCTGTATTCCACATCGTAATTACATACGAGAGACTCTGCTTCCCGCTCCGCTCGCTATGATCATCTTATTCCCGCCGAATGCGCGGGACGGCTTTCAGCGGATCGCGTCGACGAAATGATCTCGTTTCCGCGCGACGACGATAGTTCGATCGGCCTCAATTTACACGGCCGCTTCATTCATCCACTTAGCGCGCTCATTACGCGGCTGATAGCAAAGCCGCTCGTAAAGCGCAACGAGCACTCTGCGCAGCCATTTCATACGGGCGTAACATTAAATTCGGTCAGTCCGCAATCACGCGTTACGCGCCGCATTATATAAACGTTCCGTTCGGCATCGTAATTAGTCCCGAATGACGACCGCGCTCGTGCATATTAAATCATTACGCTGTGTTTATATAAGCGGGCATTAAGTATTACGGCGGAAATACCGATCACCTTCGCCAGAGCTGTCGATTTCGACGATCTAGCCGCCAGAGATTCGAATCTATGAGTGTCGAGTACTTTCTACGAGAGACTTCTGTCTCTCTCGTCGCGTCGGTGTCTAGAATGAAAAAGAAACTGCAGGCGGGATATATCGCTTGTGCTTGTGCCTCGTTGCAAGCGACCTTACTCTCGATCCCGCTGACGATGCGTGTGCATGTACGCGCCACGCGCATTCTTATTGCCGCCTTATTGTGGCCGTGATAAAGTGGCGAAACGCGCAGCGCCGATTTCGAAGGCTCTCGGAGGCAATTTGCGGCGGCGATTTACCGCGCTCCGATCGTAGATCGCCTTCTCCCGATGTCGATCGCAATCTCGTAAAGAAAATGTCGCGATATCGTTATTATCGGTCGGATCTTGCGTTTCGCGAAGGCCGAGGAAGAAAAGTAGTTCACGAACGCGCGCGCGCGACACGAAACGGAATTTTATAATACGCTACATAGACGGAATTTTATGGTAAAGTTTACTTAGGGAATATCGTAGAGCCGAGGAATAGATCTACATTCTGCAGTAATAAACTACTTCATTCACTAATATTACTGCAATAATGTACTATCATTTAAAGTGTACAACAGCTAAGCTTACTTTGTTTCTCAGTAAGATAGATCTTACTGAAACATAATAATATTGAGAAAAACTTGTATGAAAAGAGAAAAAAGCTAAGATATTTTGTTCGTGTAATAATTGCGATGAGGATAAGATAAGTACGTTTGCGTTATTTCTTTGTTCTTTTTCGAGACGTAAGATTCGACGACTGATCGATCTTGCCAACTCTCATCTCTTTAGTTGCGATGGTAAGGCGGCCGCTCGATTTTGACAAAGTGCGACAGGCTGTCGGCACGTGTCCGAGCTGCACGTATCGCGACTTCTTCCGATGTGGCCAGTTCGCTCGTTACTCGGAGGATAGCGATCGCGATTGACGCTGCGGTTTGCAAATGGATTCTAGCCGCGGGCGGCTGTCGATTAACCTTTTCGCTACGGTACGGTATAATCGAGGAACGTTCACGGCTTGCAACACGTTGTCTCTTCGAGATTATCTGCAGATACGGTAGAAACACATTGTTGGAATAGATCGATCGTTCGTTAAAATTTTTCTTGCGTCATCGCGGGGAATTTTAATTGATATGCCGCGCGGTGCCGTTCGGGAGAGAAAAGGGTCGGAATCTTTTTAGTTGTCAATCGTGAGAAGTCTCGGCTTTGACAAACAAGCAGATCCGAGTCGAAAAATTTGCCGAGCTCAACACACACAAGTTGAAGAGTGGCGGGACCGATCCTTTCTCTCGCACGGCACGTAAGTGCGTTTATTCTCTCGATTCGACCACGTAACGTTTATTTCCAATCTCGATTCGCACGTGTTATCGCAAGTGGCTCACCTAGTTCGCCGTGGCTCCTGGATCTGCCCAAGAACGAGAAGGGCTATCGCGATTGTCGCGATATCACCGCGACGCATCTCTTACATCACAATCACCTTGTTGAATGCATAAAACGGATGTGCACGCGACAGAGTTTTACGCTTCCGCGATCAGGCGCGGGTGGGCGACGGGCGACGCTCTCACCGGAAGTTCCGCCGCGTTCGAAACGACCCCGTTCCGTTGCTGATCGGCTGGCGATCGGTCGTACAGTTTCCGTTACCACTCGACGACAAGCACAAATTCGTCGGCACGTGTGTGTTTTACAACATGTAACTTGGTTCTTGGCTGAGTTTGCCCGCGAGCGTGAGAAGTTCCCGGGGCTCGTCGCGAGATTTCGATCACTCCGAGTTCTCGTTAGCACCTAGTGACGGCGAAAAGTCGGACAGGTGCGAAAGAGTCCAACTGCAGAGCCAACATTTGGATTTTCTAAAGTGTTTACGTGCTTAACACTCTCGCCTTGGCGCGCGGCGAGAATGTTTGCTGTCTCCAAATACTCTCTCGAAAGAGGAGAGAGGTTCCCTCTTCGTGGTGACTAAGCGGCGAGAACAGTTTGTTTTTGCGCGCGCCTTCTCGATCGCGCGTATCGATCGCGTGCCACAGGTGATATACTTTTCTTTCTCTCTCTTGTTCTCTCTCTCTCTCTCTCTCTCTCTCTCTCTCTGTCTCTCTTGCGCTGCTGACAAATGAAGATCGTAGGTTCGGACAGCCGGACGATGCTCGTTATTTCGATGAACGGCCGTTGGTCGATGTGTCGTGATGAGAAGCGAGTCGTTGTGAGCTCTCGTCGTGTCTCTTCCTTCTTTGAGGTGGATCGCCGCGTTATCGCAGTGGAATGTAACTTTAAACGATTTACTTGGTTCACCTTAATGAGACGCGATCATCTGCCGCGAGACTGCGGCACCGACTTGAGCCGACTCGCTTAGAAAGTCTATCCCGGCCCGGTGGACGCGTTTATCTGAAGGAGACGGCGAATCGGTTATCCTAATGGGCACACGACGGATGCGCGCGACTATCGTCAGCGAATACACACTAATTAAGAAGATAACTATGTGTCGTCGTTATTGGTATACTTTATAGCCGAGCCGTTCCGACCAGGTCGTGCGTTATCGCCGAGGCGCGACGATTTTCCGCGGTCTCGAGTGAGAACGTCGGTAGAATCGTGTCCTTGCGGAAGAGACGCTCGTAGCCGTCGTGATTGTCTCGCTAACGATTTCGACGTCAAGGAAACTTATCGAAGGAAACTTCGATACCAGCTCGTCATCATTACTCCCGCGACGCTTAACGATCCTCTTCTCGGTTGATCGCGCGAACCGCAAGTACCGCGGTGATCATGAATCGCTGGATAGTCACGGGAGAGAGAGGCGCGTTGCCTCGCGCACACGTTTCGCCATCGGTAGTACTCGCCGGCCTGTACCCGACGACGAAGAACGGCCGCGAAGAAATCCGGCGCTCAAAGAGCACCCTCCCGGCGGAGAGGAGCTACCGGTTCTTATTGTCTCGTTGTCTTATTGTTCCGCCGTGTCAGTCCCTTTGAATCCACGTCTTGTCGACTTGGAACGCCTCGCCGTGAACAAAGCGACACGAAGAATATCCCTTGTCTTCGTCCCCGCGGCGAAGCTGTTTCACGCAACTTCCTGTCCGCGCCCGAATGACGCGTTCCCTTTCTGTCCGAACGCCGATCCTGGTTGGTACCAAAGCGCGCGCGCGCGCGCGCCTGGGTGTCCGCGATTCGTCCTTCTCCTCGTTGAGGCGCGTTCGATCAAGCGCTGAGATCGATCAGGCTCGATCTCGTCATTGCCTCACCCCGGCGCAATCGGTGAGTTTCGATCGCTTGGCGCGAGCGACAATGTGATCCAGATCCCAACAGTCGATCGTTTCTGCACAGTGACAGCTCACGAGAGCCGTCATCCTTCTTTCTCACTCGTCACCGTTCCTCGAGGTCGTATCCCCCGGCACGTCGTTACTCATCATCCGCCCGCTCGAGGCAGACGTCATCGCCTGACGCGTGATGGAGACCACTTCGCACGCGGATCGATAAGTGTCCTTTCGTTTCGCGTGCAGGTTCGTCGGAAGGGCGCGCGCGCGCGCCCGCGCGAGCTCGCTGTCAACGGCGATTTTCAGGCAGGCAGGTGCAGAACGGATTCGGTCGGTCGCGCGATTTACCGGTCGTGATCGAGTGCAGCTCTCGACGTCTCGTCGTGTCGTCTCGTGTCGTCGCGTGCGCGACAAGCCGCGTGCGGTAACTGGAGCAGAGGGTAACTGTGCAAGGTGTGCGCGCGGTACCTGGTGCTCAAGGTAACCACCACCACCACCACCACCACCACCACCAGCAGCAGCGTCGGTACCACCGCTACCGCCGCCGCCGCCGACGCCACCGCCGACGCCACCACCACCGTCACCACCACCACTAACAACACCACCACCTCCGCCGCTACCACCGGTATCAGCACTCTATGACACGGTCGGCGGCTCGCGACACTAAGAGTTGTGGTGGCTGGTGTGTGGCTGGGGAGCAGCGCTTTAGGGTTACTCGGCACGGGGACTTCGACGAGCAGCGCGCGTGCACATGGGAATTTGAATGAGCGGGCAGAAAGTAAAGCGCGTTCGGTCGAGAGGAGGGCCCGCGATGGACTGGCCTCGGCACAACCCGAGTCCTCCTACCTTTGGGATCAGGTCCCAGCCTCTACGATGTTACCTCTACGATCCTACCTCGGCCTGTCTCGCCCTCTTTCTCACTCTTTTGCTTCACGCTCGCTTCGTCTCTTGATCTTTCTCGTTTCTCTCTCTTTCTCTCTTTTCTTTCCCTCCCTCTCTCCCTTCCTCTCTCTCTCTCTCTCCCCTTCTTTCTCCAGCTCTCTCTCTCTCTCTCTCTCTCTCTCTCTCTCTCTGTCTCTCGCCACTCTCCCTGTCACTCTCCCGTTCTTTTCCCTCATTCTTACTCTCTTCCGTCTCTCTGCTCACCTTCTCTCCGTTTCGTTTCCACCCGGTTCCCGTTCCCTTTCCTCCGCGTTGCTGTCCCGCGCGCGTTATATCCTCGCGGCCGCTCTTCTCGCTACGTCGTCTCGCTTTGCTTCAGTTTGAAAGTTACCTGCCTCGCCATCCACCGATGCTCTCATACGCCAGATCGCCGTATGTCTACATCCGCGAAATCGCGAATCACCCGCCAAATAATTCGGCGATTACGCAAGAGGAGCGAATTACTCGTTACTTGACGAGTCGTGGCATTAGACAGCCTACAATGTCCGTCGCGATGATCGGTCTCCTCTCGGCCACGCGCGATACAACTTCACGTGAAGGATTTTGAAATCCGGAGCGTACTACACGTAACAAATGTGTGACAACCGAGAGTCGTGAGACGGTAGAGTAAGTAACGAGTAAAGAATAGCAGAAAGAATTCGTCACGTTATTGCAGTACACAGTAACTTTGGACTCGTGACGAAGCCGTAAAGGCGCGAGGCGTGAATTTGAATCGTTTAACGTCCAGCGTCGACTCGACAGCCCGATTAAATCGTTCGATTAATTGAATCCGTTCTGCACGAGCGGGATAATTGACTGCTCCGTACACCCACGTCCGACGGGCAACAAAATATTGTATCGTTATGTTGTGGCTCTTTTTAGCGCGGCGCCCATTGTACTTGAATTTATTAACTTTATAACGTGGGCTTAGCCTCGCAAATTATAGCGCAAAAGCTTTACGAGCCGCACACAAGCGAATTCTCGCACCGATATGCCGATGTATAGCCGGGGCTTAGGAGTGATGGAACGAATTGATCAGTTTAATTCGAGGTAATAATGTGTCTAACGCTCCGCGATATATATCGCGGTGGTAACGCGCGATTTATCACGCAAGACAATCGTATCGATATCGAGATTGCGTGTAAATAGAAGATGCGAAATTCGATAGTTCTCTTCGTTGTGCTTTCCAACGAAGTCTTGCCCGTGAAGTCGAAGGGAAAATCACTTGGAGAGTAATGTCGAACGAATCAAACTTCGTTAGTATTTCTGTAATGTTATGCAACAAGGAGAAAATACGTAATAAGCGATACACATCCGCGTGCGAAAGTTCGATCCTATCGCAGGCGTATTTCGTTTCGTGGGTGGATCGGTCGACTCGAGGTGGACATGATGTACGAGATGTGTGTCTTGTCTTCGAGTGCCGCGAAATACACATTGACGTGCTCGAGATACCCCGAGTCGAAATTTTGATCCTACTTTTAGCTTCACTGTTCCATTCAACACTTATTTTAATGTTAAAGAAAATGAAAGGGAAAATTTCAGATATTATCAGAGCCAAAGTAAGAGTAAATTGTACTGTTAGAATTTAACCTTTTTTGCTAACTTAGCTCTTATTGTGTATATCGTAGAAGTTGTCAAGGTTTAACATAAAGCCAGAATTTCGACTTCCAGACAGAACCACTCCCTTTTTGTTCATTAGACATAATTATGATCAAACCTCTCGATTACGTACAATGCTTTTGTATATTTGTACATTGCGACTGTTGATTATCCCGAGAAGATACAACGTTACTTCGAGGTAGTCCTAACACTGCATGAATATATAGATAAATTGCATGTGATCAAGAAATTCGATTAAGAAAAATACTAAGTCTATCATACTGACTTGTGTGCAGTCTCGTTGTCTATCGGAGAAAAAGGAGAGAAGATCTTTAGGATGCGGCTTTCTCTATCTCGCCCGCGTCGCACGGGACTAATCGAATATTAATGTCGCGATTAACGACACAAGGATAAAATCCCCGCATAAAATATAACACTACATTTAATTGGTACTTGGTAAGAAGAGCACGTTGAAAGTAAAATGACCATCTATACGATAAACGAGCGGAGATGCTTACATTCGGGCAACTTCTCTCCTCTTTTAACGTCCAACAGTCAGGAAAGTTGTCGGTACCGGCCGAGGGCCGTTCGTGACATTGGAAATTAGTATGTTGCACTCTCGACAATTTTCTGGCCTTTATAGAGCCGTGGCATGCGAAACGCGAGCGGCCAATACACACACACACACACACATACATATATATATAGACGGTAGGCGAAGTACATACACATGAGGGGCGATGAGAATTTTATTCAGAGGACGGATCTCCCGAGTCGTCGCTTATGGACGCGGTTCCCTCTGCTTTTCGAGGAAACATGCATGCCGTATAACAACCAGGGGGGGCCCTTGAGCGAATTCCATTAATTATATATCATTACGTCGTAATTGTACGCCATATGTTTTCGGTTTTAAGGGGGTCCCTCGTCGAGTCCCGTCGGGTTTGCCGTCCGCGTACGCGACCGACGATCCGGCGCTATCAAGACGGGGAAAAAAATAAGGCGTTCGGCTGCCACGACCCCCGGCAACGTTGCGCAGAAATATGCGAATTTCGGAAAAAAACTGACGGATGATCCGCCACGAAATTTGGCATATTCGCCCCGTATGTACGTTCGTTTTCGGACTCGTCGCGCGCGATTATCTCGCGGAAATTGACGAACAGAGAGTAACTTGATTGGCGGATGACGCGACGTGATCAGCAACACCATTGCCACATCATTTTATTCGTATCGGTCGAACAAACGACAGGAAACATGTCCGGCCGAGCAGAGCGACGCGTTCGGCCATCAATCGGCTCGGAAGAGAACTCATTTGTGGAAGTGCGTTAAAATCTCTCTTTTTTCTCCCACGAGTGCTTTATAAATAGCTCCGTCGAAATTGCCTACGATCTCAGATAAGCGCTCTGTATAATTTGATGATTAAGCGGCCGGGGAGGCAAGGACGACAATAGCATCATGCCGGAAGCTGCGTTGCGTTGCGTCACACGATCTTGCGCGCAAACAAGTACATACACAGGATGTGTAAAATACACGCGCAAAGTACGGCAGAGAGGTTTATACAATGTGTAGTCTCATTGTGAATTCCCGTTTCATGCTGGCCTTACCTGTGGCCGCCGGCCTGCCCTCACGGCCGATCTCTCTCTCTCTCTCTCTCTCTCTCTCTCTCTCTCTCTCT